AATAATTAAAAATATGTGCATTTATTTCATGTTACTAACATTACAATAAAACTTATTAGAGTAGCATATCGACATTTTATAAAATAAAAATTGTGCATTGTAAAAGTCGGGCTCTTCTGCTGACTTCCTTCAGTCTCCTCTTTGAATCCATTTAGTGGCGGCTTAGGGGTAAGGAATTTCGCTGCCAATGACATGCACACAGTTTGAATCCAACACCTGCTTTGCAGGAGAAAGAGGGGCAATCTCTTCCAGAGAGACTTACTGCCTCTGAATACCAGCTGGAGGGGAAGCTCTGGGTCCGTTCTGACTCAATGGTACACAGCAACGACAGTGTCATGATAACCAACATTTCTTGGATTTCTCAAGTATCCTGCAAAGAATGCTTTAACCCATGAGGCAGGTGAAGATCAGAAAAATTAGCTGTTTTGTTCAGGATCACAAAGTTAGCAAGTAGCAGATAACTGTTGGACATGGCAATTTGAGGACGAAACAATGCCTCCTAATCTGTGTGCTAGGGAGCTCTGCTGGCCTAGTGCTAAGATGTGCCCCTCTATGTCCGACTCTGGTGGCTCAGTAGTAAGGAATTGTGCTGCCAGCCCAAAGGCAAGTGCTCTGCCTCCACCATTCGTTCCATGGGAGAAAGAAGGGCAATCTTTACCTCTGCAGTTGCAGCCTCTGAAAATCCATTGGAGGGTCAGCTGTGAGTCAGTTCTGGCTTGATGACAATGAGTTTAAGTACCTATGAACTTAGGGAGCCCTGATAACATCCTGTACCATATGTTAGGGTGTTCAGCACAAGTTTGACGTTCCAGCTAGTCATGTCCCCTGTGGCGAAAAGATGGGTGGTTTCCTCGGGTAAAAATGTAAACCTCAGAAACCCCAAGGCAGACCGTGGAGCACTGACCTAACTTGATAGCCTTGGATTGGGTTTGGTACTCTTCCTCTACCTACTAATTTCAGAGAACAAATATATGAAAGCAAGTGAGCAATCTGGCAAATTTAAATCATCCTGGATAAACACAGAGCCTGTTCACATTTTTTAAGATACACAATTTCACTTTCATTACTGGAGAGTTAGCAAGCGGAAAAATTTGACCCTAGGAAATGCTCCTTAATTAACTCCATAAAATTCATAATTAGAAAAGGTAAGAAATTCAAACGTTAAGGCTCAAGACTCATTCACCATAATTATAATAACACTGAACCAGAATCTAAAAGGATAATGAAAATCTCATGGTTGAGCCAAGCTGTTAAGACTCCAGAAATCTAACCCCAGCATTAAAATACGCATTTGTAAAACTCCAGAGTACTGAAAAATATTTAATGCCAAGTTAATTATTTAGTAAGTGCATACTAGATCTTTGTGTTTTATGCTAAGCCTTTCTGTTGTTTTTCAAAATGTTAACTCACTCTGGTGCCAACAATATTGCCACTAGTTGGATCCTGTCTCTGAAAAAAATATTGCTGCTTTTTAAGTTAGTGGAGAAATTGCCTCCTGGAATGAAATAAAATTTGAATGCAATTTATTTTGGATGACACTGAGGTGATTTCCTCTAATTCATTGATAATGACGAGGCATTTCTCATTAAGGCAGCCTCATCTGAACCTTATCAGTTTGAAACAGCTGTTGTTTGAACTTGGGGTAACAGACAAGAGAAGGTTGACTATTAAAGAAATATAAAATAGGTGCCAAATGTTATTTAAGTGGTCCACTGGACATGTGCCTGAAATTTGTAAAATATAAATTTTGTCATTTATAAGGTGATCTAACATTTTAATAATGTCACAGAACCTTAAAACTATAGTTTCAAACTAGTAAGCAACATTATTTCTAGACATTATCTTAAAATACTAAAAATGTTTCACATATAAATAAAATTCTGAGAGATTAATGAAAAAGATAGCCCATGCTTTCTTAAGAAAAGGAAAATATGAGTCAAAGTCATGGACTCAATAATTTTCTGAGGCATTTCTGCCTATTATTTGCAAATTTGTATTTTTATAGTGAAAGTTTCTGTTAATTCTATTTTGTATTAATTTTTAATTGATATTTTAATGAACAATGATAGAGAACTTGGATTTCCATTCATTCATTGTTGTACTTTTTCCTCCCTGCCCACCCTTCTCCCCCAGTTTGCTTTTCTCTTTGAAAAGAAAAAAAAATAGCATTTGACCCAGCAATTCCACTACGGTGAATATACCCTACAGAAAGCAGAACTTCCACCCAAGCAGATATATGAACACCTATATTTATTGCTGCTTTGTTCACAATAGCAAAGAGGTGGAAACAATCCAAGTGCCCATTGACAAACGAATGGGTAGAGAAGCTCTGGTATATTCACACAACGGAATACTAACTACGCTGCATTGAAAACAAGGAACTCATGAACTACTATACAAAATGGGTGACCATGGAGGACTTTATGTTGAGTGAAATATCTCAACCACAAAAGGACAAATACTGTATAGTGCCATCAGGTTTGGGGGAAAACTAAGAAAAGAGGGGATAAATAATGTGCACTGCATTGAAATAGATGAGAGGGAGAACTGTTTAAAAAGGATATATGATTAGGTATTATTTGCATGTTAAAAGTCCAGAATAAGAGCTGTATAGTAAAGTGGACTGGGGGGATTGTATAACAATGAAAGTTTCTGATAATTTTAAAATAACATACTGACAGGTGCACATATTCAAGCTTTATCAACTTGCATTTTTTTATAATTCTTTTTCTGACATAGCTATAATTAATTTGGCTATTAATACCTTTTGTACAGACTCAGAACTAAATTCATTCCAGAGGAATGATATTAAAAGCATAGAAAGGCTGTATTTTGTTTAGAAAATAGTTTAAAAGTCAATAATTGTTGTTTCTAAAATAGTTTTGAACTATTTTCAATCAAATACTATTGCTCTAGCTTATCGCATTACATAGAAGAGAGTCATGTGTCTCCAGAAGACAACTGTTTAATTCATGGACTAAAGTCCACATTAATCATGAAAGTGAATCAAAGAGTATTTACACATCATCCATTTGTCACTGTATTATACTCTTCATGCTTTTGACTCAGTTTATATTTAAGAGAAAATGTCCCAAGTCAGGTAGAAACCTGTTGCTTATGTTCTCAGAGATATTATGACGAGTCAGAATCGACTTGAAGCTGACCCTCAGTGGGTCCTCAAGTGATATAAATTGCATGGGAGATTACCCATCTTTCTCTGCCAAATAGCAGCTGTTGCATTCTAACTGCCTGCTTTTGGGTTGGCAGTACAACTCACTACCCACTAGGCCACCAGAGTTCCCGATTGCTTAGGGCACTCTCGAATGAAAAGATGCCTCCATACAGCATTGTTAGAGAAGACAAGGTTTAGTGGTCTAACAGAGACTGGTGAAACTCCCAAAACTGTGACTCTAAAACGCACTTCAAGCCTAGAACTGAATCTACCTGCAGGGATCAATTTTCACCCAAACAATGGCTAGACTCATGAAGTGAATAACACCAGAGAGAAACAGACTCTTCTGTGTATCAGACATATGAGACCAAAAGGGTAGTATTTTGTTCAAAAACAAAGCTCAGAAGGCAGGAAGGGCAGGGACATACAATTGGAAATGGGGAACCCAGGGAGGAAAGAGGAAGAATGCTCTTACACAGAAGGGACTGAAAAGAAAACACATATAAATTGTTGATTGGAAAACCAATTTACTCTGCAAACATTCACCCAATAAAAAGTTAAAGTGAATAAATAAAATTATGTGACATATAAAGTAAAATTTGGTGAACATATGTCAGTTAAACAAATGTCTTTACTTTTTGAAAAATTATTATGTAAACACAATGATAACCAATTAGATGTATCTATCTCATGAAAATAGGGACTACACTTAATTGTATTGCTATTCTTTCCAAACTTCTAATCTCTGAATAGCTATTTAGTGAGTACACAAAATGTGAACCAACATTCTAATTTATCACAGCTATAGGGAGTTCTGGTGGCTTAATGGTAAGGAGTTGCACTGACAACCCAAATGTACATGGTTCAAATCCAATAGTTACTCCATGGAAGAAAGATGGTCAGTCTCTTCTTGTGTGGCTTAATGGTTCAAAAAAAAATATATATTACTATTTGACCCAAATTAAAGTCCTCATTTTTCCTCTTTTCTGTCAAATGACCCAGAATTTTTTAGTGAAAACTATGATAACATTTTCGGCAAGGAAATTCATTTAGGTCTGGCACATGCATATCCCTGCAACCAAGGGCCATTAGCACACCCAGTGCTGCTGACAGCCAGCAGTGCCCTCATTCACTAGCAAACATTCCCAGGAGTGTGGGACTCCACTTTGGTGAAGAACACTCCATTAGGATGTCACATAGTGATGAGGCATGGTGGTTGAAGTAATCCACCATTCATGGAAAAGCACTGGAATGCAATGCTCAGAGCTAGACTACATAAAATTCTAGGGCCAGGATCTAGAATGAGCTGACTTTTCTAGTAATTTCATTGACCCCTGCTGGTCTCCAGCTACATTAGCTGCAGGCACATGGTCTTGCAAATCATGAACAGCTGTGAAACGAGAGAGAGAGAGAGAGAGAGTGAGTGTGAGTTAGTTCTCATATTGAGCAGCAAGACTTGAGGGAGACTGGAGCAAGACTCTGAGGAGACTGAGATCGTGGTGATGGTTGTGGAGAGACTGTGGCATTGCTGTGGAGAAACTGTGGCAGAGTGTAACGAGAGGAGCCCTGAGATAGAGGCCATGTTAAAAGCTATGCTATGATAACTGGATGATTGAAGGAGAAACTGACATATCTGCTCAGAGGCAAGCTTTGTTCAGTGATTTGGATTTGTGCTACTTCACTGAAACAGGACTTCTACCAATTGAGGAATTGTATTTTGCTATTAATCTTGCTGGAGACTGCTGGAATAAACCTGGACTTGCACTGGGTAATATTCTTTGCCTCCCATATTCTTCAACTTATTTTCCTAATAAACCCCACTCTTGGTACCATAACTGTAAGTTAAGTCTGTGAGTCAATAATGATTATCAAACCCATATGATTGGGAGACATAGCTGCAGGAGCAAGGGGGTGTGTATATGTCAGACCTAGCAGCTATCATTTGCTGTTATGGATATTATAGATGGGGAAAGCTCCTCTTTTTGAAGTGGGCAGAAGTCAGACTCGGCCATCCTCATGTTGCATCTGCTCCTTTTTGCAAAGGCTATCTAGGTTTACATATCAGCAATGTCTCCTCCAACGGTAAGAGCTTGGGCACATTATTTCATGTTCCTAAGATAACTCTGGTGGCCTAGCTTTAAGAATGTGTTCTGCGATGCCGAATGCATGCAGTTTGAATCTGCCAATTGTTCCATGAAAGAAGGATGTGCAATCTCCTCCCATGTAATTAACTGCCTTTGAAAACCCACTCAAGGGTCAGCTATGGGGGGGTTCCAACTCAACAATACTGAACAACAACAAAAATATAGCTCTGGTGGCCAAGTGGTGAGAAGCTGTGCAACCCAGCCCAAAGCACATGGTCTGAATCCATGCTCTGAAAATCCATTGGAGGTCAGGTATTGGTTGATTCTGAGGTGACGGTATACACCAACCACCACCTACTAGTAAATTATAACTATTGTACTCATAATTTATGATACTTGTAAAACATACTGAAATTCTCATATTTCAGTGCATTCCTTTATACCAAAAATGAAGGTACGTGGCAAAAGGAAACAAGTTTTAGCTTTATTAAAGATAATAAATAAAAGTTATTAACATAAATGTTAAGATTAACAATTAATTGGTAGAATGATATTTCACAACTTTATATGCCTTGATTTAAAACTCATTATCAAGTAACCATGGGGTGTAATTTACCCTTTATTTAATTTAGTTTAAAATTGAAACTGAGTTTAATTATAAGAAGATTTATGATTGATCAGAAGAACTATGTTACATAAAATAACACTTTTCAACATTACAAAGTTGTTATTGTGTTGATTTTTTTAAAAAAATTGTTGTAACTAATATCATGTTTTCCAGTGATGGAAAGGTCATGTTTGTGGTTCAAGCTATGCATAATAGGACACAGAGACACATTAAGAGTTAATTTGTGGCATGAAAGTGATTAAGTTTTTAATCTCTGAGTATATAACACAACATACATATTTTTCTGCTAGCCTATTAGTTGAATCAATTATGAAAGGTACTTTTTACAAAATGGCTTACCTTCCATAGTCACTGTCTAGGATGAAGCTGATGTTGTGATGACCTAGAATTAATTAAAATAAGACAATTAAATTTGTAATCACAAGAGACAATAACTATATATTATGAGGCTGATGTAAAAGCTTAACATTTAAAAACATAAATTAAAAACTGTAAATATACAACCACTAATCTTCAAAGAGATGAAAACTGGACTTGCTTAAAGAAGTACCTACAATATTAAAATATGCATTAAATGATACAATTGGAAAATGCAGAATTAAAAAATACATACAACCAGTCTCAAAGTTGCAAGTAGAAAAACATGACAATATAAAATAAGAAATTAAAAGCACTAATGAAACAAATATCATGACCATCATGTCTTTAAATGTCATTTATTCATTAAGTAGTGATTAATTGGGTCAGAGTGAAAGAAGCACCCTAATTAATGTGGCAAAGTGCAAGCTGAGCATCCCGATAAACACTAAAAATACCGTCTGCTTAAGGACACAGTCAGTCAAAAGCAATGGTACAAATTCATTCTTTTACATGACATGGAAAAAAATCATGATAAAGTTATCAAAGTTGAGGGAGTTTGGGGACATAATATTTTACCAGAAATTGTCAGGATGGGATTCTGGCAAAGGACATGATGCAATAGGAAGTGAAGTTGGTTTAAGAAGTAAAACATCTGTGTGCATGGAATATAAAGAGCAAGGTGGTAAAAACGAAGTAAAGTTCATAGATCAAACAGTTAAATTAGTTCTGAAACCTCTGAAAGGTGAAAAAGAAAAACCAAACACTTTAATAATAGCACCTTAAATATAAACCTTAGGAACATCTCATACATGTTTTCACATGACTTTAAAGAAACCAATAAACAGATAAAAATTTAAAAAGAAAAACAGAAATGAGATGGATGGAGAAAAGAAAGAGGGGAAAGTCAAGCCTCTATTACCATTGATGATCAAATCAATACTTACCAATGTATGTCCCAGTTGTTTTACAAATCAAAGAACCCAAATCTCCGTGTGGATGCTCCAGTTTTAGACCATACCTAATAAAATACACATGTTAACATTGAACTTTATTTGACATTAAAGATTCAAATTATTTTTCCTTCTTGAGAACATCTCAATTCCCCCCACCTCCTCAAGTATATTTCAGGGCAGTAATTGTTGTTAAAACAAAAATTCTATTAAAGGAAACTACTTTCCATCCTTGGCTGAAGCTCTTTGAATACAGAGTTGTTTCACAAATATTTTTAAACTATTTTGGCTATTCTCATGGATACAACTTTAAAAGTATTTAAGGTATTATCAATAAAACAATTTTTATAGCAATACTAGTTAATTTTTTTAAATAATCAAAATAATAGTGCATATCCTACTATATTGGAAAAGAAGGGTAGCAAATAACACCTAACTACATAAAGGGCTACTAATTTACTATATGTTGTACTATAATTTACAAATTTTAAATTTAGCTATGCAATATTGTTAGAGATTGCTGTTAAAATAAGCACACTTATAGCTGCCATTTATTTTTCTATAAAAATTATTTTGATTACTTACATAGAATCAGATTGTGGTATGAGAAGTTCACAGGGCATTCCTCCAACATAAACTCTGTATAAACATTTTATTAGAAAGATCAAGTTATATTCATTAAGTTGTTCCAAACCAATTACTAGGCAAGCTCGTTGGTGACATTATTATTATTTTCCCCCCCTTTCTCCATCACTTAGTATTATCCATCATTCAGTCAATAAAGATCAATTGAATACTTGCTCAGTGCACCAGGACAGATCAGTGAACAAAACAAGAATGTCTGTCCCTTTGGGACCAATGTTCCAGTTGGGGGAGGAAGATAAACATGATTATATATAGTAAATATATAATCAATAGTATGGTGTCTTTAATTTGTGATAAGTACTCTCCATCTCACACACTGCTTTGAGGCCGAACACTGTGACACTGATGTGTCAAATGTGTTAATGGTTGACTACCCAGTGCGCACAGAGAGTGGGGTGGAACTCCCCGATTAAAACAAGCGTGGAAGGAGGAGTGGCATCCACTTTCATAATAGCTTGCCTCTGGAAACCCTATGAACCTAGATAAAGAGTATGAAAGGCACCCAAGCGTCGAGGACTCTCCTTCATAGGGTCACTAAAAGTTGCCTTTGACTCAACGGCACTTAACAACAACAACTATCCATCTAGGTCATCAAGGTGATTCCAACTCATTCTGGTTCTCCACTGGTTTTTCAAGTTGTGAATCTTTTCAGGAGGAAACTGCTTATCTTGCTCCTATGGAGTGGCTGGTGGATTCAAACTGCTGACTTTTGTATGACCAGCATTCTTTATTAAGTATTGTGAGAAAGGACAAATAAGTAAAAAAACAGAAGAAGAGAGAAAGACACTCATCCACCTGAAGGGCAGATGGAATAAAAATGTAGCATGGCTACACCTGTTCCATTAAGATTTACATTCTCAGAAATCCTACCGGGCCCTTCTCCTCTGTCTATATGCTTAGCCTGACTCAATGGAGTGAAAGGCAATGGGATATGATTAGAAGTAAACTCGGTCACAGACATTATGTACATTTGCTATAATGTGTAACTGGTTTGAGTTGGAGATTTTCCTGAAATCACAAGGCTGTGAGAAGCAGAAGCAGGTCCAACACTGAGGTCTGCTGCCTCTCCATCCAGCTCAACATCCATTGTTATCTGTTACCGCCTGAAAATGACATTCCATCTCAGGCAAGGATTTGGGAAGCTTCAGGGTGTCATTAACACTATAGAAATTGGATGACGGCAGCTCTAAGAATGTCTCTGGGAGCCCTGGTGGCATCGTCCATAGAGAAATGCTAACTCAAAAGCAGTGGTTCAAATCTATCAGCCGCCCTTTGGGAAAAAAATGGACAATTTTCTCCAGTGTGATTTATAGCCTTCTCCCCCCACCCCCCCCAAAAAAAAACCTACTGGAGGGTCAGCTCTGATTCATTGGTAATGAGTCTGAGTTTTAGGAGAACATCTCATATTTTCAGATATGTGATAAATTCTTTAAAATATATATACATATTAATATCTCATGATTTTCAAAATACAAAGGCTACCTCTAACCTCTGATGCCTCCTTTCACTTTAAGAGCTTATGATTTTTATGAAATAATTCCTATTCATTCCCTTCTATTACACAATTAAGGTCCAACCACAATGAAGAGTAAAATAATTTCTTTTTTAAAGCTTAAGTATTCTATTTCCTGTTATAATTATAGAAAGGGAAACTTAGAGAACAACATTTAAGAATTAGAACATAAACCAGACAATATTAATTGCAGTTGGACTTGCTTTCATGGGCTTTGCATTAAAATCCATCATAGAACATGTAGGGATTCTATTAGACCAGAAAAGAAGAGATGTATTGACAATTGCTTTCATGCCACTCACTCACCCAAATACCCATCTGTAACATGGTTAATAAACAGTAATTAGTCTGTCACATTTTAGTTGCTTTTAATAGCACTGGATCCATTCCCTATGGAATATCATATCCTATTTTTCAGTTGTTGTTGTTTATCATTGAGTTGGGACAGACCTGCTGTTGACCTTCCAGTGGTTTTTTCAGAAGCAGTTAATCAAAGGGGAGGAGATTGCCCATCCTTTTCCCACAGAGCAGCTGGTGGATTTGAACTGCATGCCTTCAGTATTGTAGCACAGCTTCTTATCACCAGAGCTCCACAAGGATGTATTTCAGCATAAAAAAGATTACCTCAAAATTCTAACATTTTTCCCATTTGAGCTCAGTGCAGTGTTACTTCCATAGACATCAGTGAAGATTCTCCCTTGAATTGTAATTAATGTACCTAAGGAGAAGAAAAGAAATTCTATAAGAGAGTATCTGCTCATGAATTTAATACCCAGGCACTCGTAGTGGTCTCTCCCTCTAAAAATCCAGCGTCCAGAAACTCTTCAGAGTGAATGCTTAGCAATGCTCTGAAAGTGCTAGCAAATATCATAAAACATGAGTCACATCTACAAACAATTACAGACTAAAGGGTTGGTTCATGAAACTTTAGATGAATAACATTCAGCCATTTAAATAAACTTCAATCTTTTCATTTGACTAATATCCAATTGCTTGGACCAGTGAGAGATTTATTTTAGAAAACAGATACAATCCATAGCTTATCCAAAAAGTAAAACTAAACTCTAAAGGGAAAAAAAGTAAATACTGAAAAGTATAAAAAAGTTAGAAAAATAGATGAATATCAATATAATCTTTGTTTAGGAGGGCATTTTTTACCATGAGAATGCTCTATAGCATGAAAATGGAGAAAGACTTAGTGAAGATTAATTAGAATTTTTTAAAAATAGAAGTTAAAAATGATAGAAAAATAATGAATTGATTTTTTAATATAAACAATAAATATGCACAATATTTGCCACAAATGACAGAGAACAGATTCATTTCACTAACATATAAAGAATTCTTATAATCTAATATGAAAAAATATGACAAGTCTAAAGTTAAACAAAGAAGATGACTCTAAATTATTTTAAAAAGCAGTACAAATTGTTAATAAAGAAATATATTCAGTAACATACATTAAAAAGAGAAATCTTTAAATGAAATTTACCCACCATAGTCTTAATGTAAATAATAGGAAAACAATTAATACTCAAGCTGTCAAGTTTTCAGAAACTGTCACTCTTAAATGATTCTACTGAGTTTATAAACTAGTATGATAATAGTTATTATCATGATCATTAGGAAGTCCATCAAATGCCCATTAGAGGAAAAGTTACATATATCACAGTAGGCTTTCATGTAGCAACAATTTTTATTTTAAATATTAGGAACTTGGAATATAAAATTTTAATAATACTTTTAAAAAAGAAAAATGTTCACCATATAATTTTAAATGAAAAAAGAAGTCCTTCTCAGTACTTACAATTCTATAAAAAATAGATATTTTCATGTACCACTTGTGCTCCCAGATTGTTGTTATTCTTGTTGTTGTCTGCCATTACGTCAGAACCACCTATAGTGGGTTTTCAGAGGCTGTAAGTCACATGGGAGAAGACTGTCTATCCTTCGACCAGGGAGCAGATAGTGGATTTGAAATGTGTTCTTTAGGACTGCAGGGCATCTACTTACCACTAGATCACCAGGGCTCCTTTCACAAATTGAAACCAGAAAATAATCCTAATCTGTGACTATAAAGTTTTTATCATCTAATTATTGACATACGTATGTGATGGAACTATTAACTTTTCTATTTTTTAACTTTTCTGTTATGATTGGGCATTAAACTTACAATCAAAAAAAAATTCCATTTCTAATATATCAAGTATCATGATTTATATCTTGAGAAGTTTAATCTGAAATCTATAGATTCAGCTATAATATAACAAACCTGGTGTTCCAGATAATGGTGTAATGCTTCTTATTGTTGGTGTTCTGAAACTTTTCACCTACAAGATAGAAATGTCAGTTAGCTATCTATACTATATATTTTGCTCTTGGTTTTAGAAACAATCACTTCTTTTAAGTTTCACTTCAAAAATATCCGTAGTGTTGTAGAATGTAATGAGTAAAGCATAAAAATATTATTCTGAGCATTGTGCTAAGTGAACTAACCCAGTCTCATAAAGACAAATACTATGTCGGACTATTATTGTAGAGCATGTACAAGGATCCAAGGGGTGAGTGGGCCTTAAACACAGGGTTGTACAATTTGATGGGTGGAGGGAGAGATTAGTAAAATAAAGTGGAAGTCCTGTGTGAAAAACAATATATATGAACTTTATGAACTTTTGTTTGTAAATCAGTATAAAATAAAATAAAACAAAGTATTCTGACTAATCAAGATCCTCTTCTTAACCCCTTAAAATGAATTTTTATTTCATTTGAGTGTCACCCTTAAAATGCAATCATTGTTTTGCTATTGTTGTTAAATGCTATAGAGTGGAGTACGACTCATACCAATCTTATGAACAACAGATGTGAACTCTGACTCGTCCTGTGCCATCCTTACTGTCTTCAACACCTTTGCAGCCATTGCCACAGATACTATCGGTTCCCCTAATTGAGGGTTTTATTCTCCTTTGCTGACCCTTCACCCTTCCAGCCATATTGTCCAAGAAATAGTCTCTCCTAACATTATGCCCAGATATGTGAAATGAAGCTTCCTCATCCATCTTTGCTTCCAAGGAATACTCCGGATACAATTTCTCCAGAAGTCTGTTCTTTGGAGTCTGTGGGATATTCAGCATTCTCCTCCAGCACCACAACTTAAATACATTGGATCTTCTCCTTTCATCCTTATTCATTTCTAGCTCTCAGATGCATGGCAGGTGATTAGAAAGATTGTGGCTTGAGTCAGGTGCATTTTAGTCTTTAAATTGCCATCATTACTCTTCTGGACTTTGAAGAGATTTTTGACAGCAGACTCTCTCAATGCTATATGTCTTCAAATCTCCTGACTGCTGGTACCAAATGTACCAGTGCTATACATCTTGTCTCCTAACTGCTGATAACAAGTATTTGTGTAAGCCAAATTATAGTAATACGTCACTCACGTAAGAATTTAGGAACTTGGTAGAATGATATTACAGAAAGCATATTGCAGGCAAAACTTATGAAGAAACAACTGTTCAGAAGTTTAAAAAAATAGAAAAACCTTAGTACATAAGCCTTAAAAACTAGATTTTTATTAAGCACTTCAAGCATAACTCTTAATCCCAAACATGAGCTGTAAGAGTTTCGGGAATTTACCTATATAAATGATTTCATTTCACTTGGATCCACAATAAACACTCAAGATAATAGCAGGAAATCAAAAGACATGTTGCATTGGGAAAATCTTTAAAGTCCTAAAGAGAAATGATGTCAGTCAATTTAAAGACTAAGACAAAGTGTTCATTAAAGAGAAAAAAAATGCCAGTTCAAATACTAAGGTGGGCCTGATCCAAGCCATGGTCCTTTCACTCACAGTCTATGCATCTGAAAGTTGGACCATGACAAAGTATGACAAAAGAAGAATCAATAACTTTGAACTGTGGTTTTAGAGAAGAGCATCGAATCTCCATGGACTTGTTCAAAAAGAACAAACCAGTCTATCTTGGAGAAAGTGAAACTAAGGCGCTCTTTAAAGGTAAAGATGGCGAAACCTCATCTCACAAACTCTGGGTATGCTGGAAGGAGGAGCCGGTCCATGAAAAAATCACATCAGGCTGGGAAAAATGGTGAGTGAGAAAGAGAGGCAGACCCCATTGAGATGAACTGACACAGTGACTGAAACACTAGACTCGAGCATGTCCGATATGGGGAGGATAGGGTTGGGAAGGTTTAGTTAGAACTCTTGTTCCTATGGTTGCTCTGAGGCACAGGCTCCCTGAAGATGCTGAACAACAATAACAACCAGCGTGTTCCAATACCTGTAGTAGAAAGAGTGGGTATTGATGTTGCTGTGTATCATAGAGTTAGGAATGGCCTATAGCTGACCCTCTAGGGGGGGGTTTCAGAAGCAATAAGTCACATGGGAGGAAATTGCCTATCCCATGAGCAGTTTGTGAATTTGAACCATGTACCTTGGCATTGATAGCACAATTCCTTACTACTAAGCTACCAGAGCTCCAATCCCATAGATGTGGGGCCCTAATGCTTAGAGCTTTGGACCCCGTTAAGCTGTACGGAAAAGACAAGTTAAAAAAAAAAAAAAGAGACATTAATTCTGAAGGTAGGATTATGGCTGCCAATCAGGTAACCTTGAAATAGGGAGAGAATCTAAGATTGGTGGTCCCAATATAAATATAGGGGTTCAGAAAATTGAAGAAGGTAGATGAAGATGAAGGACAGTCAGAGAAAATATAGTAACAGAAACCAGATCAAAACAATATTATGTGGAGGGAGCTCTGGTGGGCTAGTGGAAAGAAGCTGCACTGCAATCCCGGAGGTGCACAGTTTGAATCCACCAGATGCTGTGCTCGAGAAGGAGGGACAATCTCCCCCATGCCAGTCAGATCTGATTCAATAGTGCACAACAAATTGGGGGGGGGAGTAGCTACATTATGTGAAAAGAATGCAACTTGCTATTATTGGCAAAACAGTAGAAAATTATAAAAACCACCAAGATGTGTACAAATCAATCTCTGTAACCACAGAGTTTTCCTTTAAATAGCATGTTTTACAAAAACATTTTAACAATATATATTAAATGATATGTAAGTCACAGCTATATTTTCAGTAGTTAGGTCACAATCAGACTGCTAGGAGTGGTGGTCAGCCTTATGACACCTAACAATGACAATATCACCATAGCTGAGTTTCTGATTGACTATGGGACCAAATGTGTCAGGAAAGCAGAATTTCAGGATTGTTACAGGGTACCAGCTGAAGCTGTGATAAATATGAGAGGAAAGTAAATTTAAGGAGAAATACAAGGAAATCTGCTTGAAATATATAGAATTTAAGCTTCACCTCTCTTGTTATTCAGTAGGGAACACAGGCCTGCAACTAAAGAGGTGGTTGCCTGAGACTGATGGGAGTCAGAGCAATATTTATAATCTACCTGGGACTCACAGAAGCTTCTTCTGGAGAAAGGTTTGATCAGCATTTCATCTTAAATTGGAATGTTATAGTATTCTCAGCATTTAGCAATTTAACTGAAAACTCAGAAACATGGATGGTACTTAGAACAAAACAGAGTATGATAAATATATAAATTTTGGACAACTAACCTTTGAGTATACATTTAATCTCATCACATTAGAAATACACTATTCATTAAAAAAATTATTGCTATCAAGGTGATCTGAACTCTGTAGGACAGAGTAGAACTTTCTCAAAGAATTTCCAAGGTTGTCAACCTTCCACTTTGTTTTCTTTCATGGAGATAGAGAAGGATGATGAATAGAGCTGCCAACTTTTTGCTTGACAGCTGATGTCTTAAAAACAGCATGGGAGATCATTCAAAAATTTTATAGAAAGGGAAGGAAAGGATTTCCCCCCTTACTTAATATGCAGTAGTGTACAGGCAAAAATATAATCAAACTAAGTACAAGGAAAAAGAAAAAAACCCCACTAGAGTGGATAGAAAAATGATTTGGAAGTATAAAAACTTTCCAGCTTTTTGATGCATAGCAAGTATTGAAAAGACTATGGCCTGGATCGGGTGCAACTTAGTCTACAGACTGACATCATTGCTCTTCAGTACTTTGACAAGGTCTCTGACAGCAGACTTTCCCATGGCAATTTGTCTTTTAATTTCCTGACTGCTGGTACCAAGAGTTTTGATTGTGGAGACAAGCAAATTAAAGCTGTTAACAATCTCAATCTCTTCACCATCCATCACGATGCTTCAATTGGCCCAGTGGTGAGAATCTTTGTTTTCTTGATGTTGAGCTTCAATTCCTATTTAAGGCTGCAGTCCTTGACTTTCTGCAACAAGTGCTTCAGATCCTCCTCTGTTTCAGCCCATAGGGTTGTGTCATCTGCATAACCATAGTCTTAATTACTTGCTCTGCATCAGAGACAATGACTAGGGATGATAGAATTGATGCCTTTGAGCTGTGGTGCAGAAGAAGATTATTTACTATCCCATGGACTGCTAGGAGAACAAACAGGTTTGTCCTGGAGAGGGTAAAACCAGGCTGATCCTTGGAGGCAAGGATTCTGAGGCTTCATCTGACATCCTTTGGACATGTTGCAAAGTGGGACCAGTCCTTGGAGAAGGACATCATGCTTGAGAGGGTGGAGGGACAACACAAGAGAGAAAGACCCTTGAGATGGATTGATTCCTTGACTGGGGTAATGGAGGTGGGTGTGTCAAAGATAATAAGATTGGCACAGGATAGAGCAGGGTTTAGGACTTTTGTACATAGGGTCACTGTGAGTTGCAAGCAACTCGATGGCACATAACAACATAAAAGTTTAATTCATTAATAAAATTAATATAAGTAGAGAGAGATTCCATTACGATGGACAATAATAACAAATAAGTATACTTTTTTTAGGTCTCTGATAATGTATTTAGCTATATTATAATAATAGTGTGGGAAAGAAAAAATGTGACAAAACTAAAAAAAATTAAATTCCAGTTCTGTAAGATATAAAACACAAGACCAATGACAGGTGAATTATAGAGGAGATGCTCACATACATTGAAGCTACATGCCCAGCTCTCGATGTTCCCTTTGCAGGTATTATTTTCTGTAATAGGAATCCCATCCACACTGACTCTTACAGTGTAGGAAGCTTCTGGCATTGCTCTGGAAGGTTAATGAAGAACATATTAGAAATGCAATATCTATTTTATTTAATGTACATTAGTAATGGAAAAACCCTGGTGATGGGATTCTTAAGTGTTACACCCTCCAGCAGAATGTTGGTTGTTCAAACTCAACAGCCACTCTGAAGGAGACAAGACATGTGAATAAGCTTCCACAAAGATTCAGAAACCCTGTTAGTCAGTTCTACTCTGCCTTGCAGGGTAACTATGAGTTGAAATCAACTTGATGGCACACGATAACATTAATGAAAAGTGTGCTGGATTATGTGTCATTTGGGGGGAGGGACTGTTTAAAATTATAATTGATGTAAGTGAATTCTATTCTAATATAGATCTCTACCTAATATCTAGAAAAAAATAAAAATTACCAACCACCCTGTCATCTGTATTACAACTCTACCATCTTGAACCCTAGGTGATTCTTATTGTGACTATACGCATAGCTACTTATTAAAAAGGATACTTCTAACAACACAAACAATAACAAGCACTTAAAAGAGTAAAATTCATCTAGGCTTATTCAGTCTTTTTCCACTCTGTAGATTTTAAAAATACTCATTTGAGTTTCCCATAGGCAAATTTTTTATTGGTAAAAAACAAGCCAGCACGTCCAGTGCTGTTGTAAACTTCTGGAATATGTATTCCTGTTGCTAAGGTCATTATTGAAAGTTGTAATTATTTTTTTTCTCTCCTAAGTTGCTAATAACACACATTAATTTTGGCTGATAGCAAAAAATTTGACATGTCAGAGTATAAAATAACCATCTTTAATCTTAATGACCATGTCAAGATTTTGAACAAAATTAATTGAATTAGACAGATGAGCATAATTTTTTTATTTTGAGGCACATCATCACAATTTAATAGTAGCCATTTATCTTCTTAAAGAGCTCAACGATGATAAAAAATAGGGGCTGTAATAATGTGAAAATATGGAGAATATATTTACATCATGCTAGTATGAGGAAAGAACATTATAATTAAGAAAGGTATAAAAATACTCTAAATATCATGAAATAATATAACTGATAATAAAAAACTAAAACTATGATAATGCTAATATGTGTCAATCAGGCTGATAAGGTAGAAATGATCTCATAAAAGGTATTTTAGAACATACCTAGTGTAACACGTTATATGGGTTGAATGACTTGCATCTTTTTCCACATCACAAGGAAATGAATGAAACGAAGAAACTAACTGAACACTGTTTCCCAATTCAGCATTTTGAGCCCCATAATTAAACTGGTTTGCTTGAGCAAAACCTGGAAAAGCAAGAAAAGTGCATTGGTTTTAGTGTCATTTTACTGTCAGAAAGAAATCAGAAGCCGTTCAGTCTCGAGTCATTTAGTAAGTAATGAGGACTTAGCAATGCAGGAAGGAGCCCTCGTGAGACAGCAATCAAGTGCTCCACTGCTAACCCAGAGGCTGCCTGCTGTCCCGAGGAGGAAAGAACTGGCAAGTGCTCCTGTGAATGCCTAGGAAAGTCTGTAGGGCAGATTTACTTTGCCCTCTAGAACAGCAGGAGAGGATAGTCCTGGAAAGGGACATGTTGATTGAAAAGGCAGAAGATAATCCAAAAGAGGTTGACTCAGAATAGGGTAAGTTAAGAGACACTGTCCAAAAGGGTGCTATGCACTGTAGAAAGACTCAATGGCACACAGAAACAACAACAGAGTCACTATGAGTCGCCACTGACTCATTGGCACACAACAACAACAGCAGTAATGGAGTAAGTGGTCAATCTATTTCACATGTGTCCTTATGACTACAACACTTTTCAGATGCATCACAATTTTTCACAGATCATAGCTCTACCAGAGATGCCAACAGTGGAAAATAGGTTAAGTAATAAACTCTTTGCAGATTTTGTGACTGAAATTAGAGATGATGCCAATAGACAAAAGAGATGACAGACACAAGAGGCATTTGATATAAATGGTATTGGAAGACTTTCAAAATTAGTGAAGCACATTTTAGACAAAGAGAACAGGATGTGCAAAGGTCTTGTGATGCCATCATATTTGTAGATTCCAATAACAGCAAACGTGCTTGGATATGTGCAAGTGAGCAGAAGTATGAAATGTGACCAGAAAGGAAACAGTTTAGATTGTATTATGAGTGGAAAACCACGAGAGGCTTGGAAACAGAGCAGTGGTATTAAATGACTTACACTCCCCAAGATTCCTAAGCTGCTGCTCTGAGAATAAACTGGGGCAGAAGTAAAGATGGTGTCACATCACAGTGAGTGATGGAATAAAGTGTGTTTGGCATGGACTCAAGAAAGGATCAGAGCAGAGCAAGGAGTGCATTACAGGGTGGGGAGGGGGAGAGGAGTTAGGGTGCGTGGGAGATAAAATGTTCAAAAAATTCAGAGAATAAGTGTGGAAAACAAATCTTGACAGCTCATTCTGAGACATTTTATTGTAAAGGTATGCAGATAAATGGGGTGGTAGATTGTGTGTAGAGCAAAGGAGAAGTAGATGATTTTTCTTTTCTTTTGCTCAGGGGGAAGTAATAATAATATGTTTGCATCAGATATTTACAAATTAATAGAAAGAGAGAAACGAATGATATGAAACAGAACTGATAATTAATCTCACTCTAATATATGAAAATTCAAGACTAGACTTGGCGTAAACAAAGAGTATGTTTTTTAAGTATATTTATACTCTCTCATTGCCATCAAGCTGGAAGCGACTCATAACTGATCCTCCAGTGGGTTCTCAGAGGCTGTAAATTGTACTCGGGATTGCCTAACCTTTTCCTGTGGAGCAGCTGGTAGGTTCAAACCTCCAACTTTTGGGTTGGTGCTTAGCATACAAATACCATTGTAGCCAAACTGATGACTAATAATATTTGCTAAATAATGAAATTTGTTTCTCTAAAGGATACTACATATTTTAAGTACCAATACTTAATCACCTATAGATTCTATTGTCTCACAACCAAAGAAGCATAACATCAGTAAATAAGAAATAATCATAAACCCAGAGATACAGATTCAGCTGTTTAAACTCATGTATATATATTACCTTTAGGGGGAAAAAAAGGAAAGGTATTTCCCTTTAATACCAGAAGTTTTCAAGTATATGTCAACAAAACCATCACCACCATTATGAAACTTTAATAGTTGAAATATTTTGGCTCGAGATTTTTAGGAATCTGTGATCTAATTGCTTTTCTAAATTATGGACTATTTTCAGTGTATTCTGCATAGTCCATTAAAAAACATAAATATGGAAGCATGTAGAATAAGAAGTGGGACTTTACATGTCCCAGCCGTTCATCAGGTGCTAACGCTTATACTTCAGTTGCGGTAAAGTTGCATATTGGAAGGCAGTGCTATTTAAGGGTCTGTTTAAAAGTCTGCTATTAGGGAGCTCTGGTGGCCTACTGGTAGGAAGCTGCACTGCAATTCCAGAGTTCTGTAGTTCAAAATCCACCAGATGCTCTGCTGGAGAAGGAGGGACAATCTCCTCCTGTACCAGTCAGATCTGATTTGACAGTATACACACACAAATAATAAAATAAAT